GAGGCTGATTGAGTAACTGCCTAGAGGCCCTGCATCAACAAGGGGGCCCCGTGCACGCACCAAGAAAAAAACTTCATCGAACGATTTTTTTTTTTTTTTTTTTTTTTCGAAAATGTGTACTTATACTTCCTGATACTTCCTCAATATTATTCCTTTCTTTTTCAACGCATGTTTTCAAGTTACATTTCAAATGACTAATAGCACATTATTACTTTGTGATGTTGTTGTTGCGGCCGTTGGCCCTTGTGCCCCATTTGAATATTACAATGTAATGTTGATGGTGAATATAATATGAATATATCAGGAATTACATAAAATCAATATGAATCCATAACGTATATTTGATGTTACTCAAAACATCTAATCTAATATTGTAATTAACATTCTAATTATTCTCTATGAGATGTAAGGTTAGGTCTATTTGTTCTGAATTCATCAAGAGAATCATCTGAATGATCTTCAGAAAAGACAGAGGAAGTGATCTTTTGCGGAATACAACTGTGTTAATGAATTGATCTTGCCGTGCTCCTGAAATACCATAAGAATAAATATGTAAACAAGTTTTTTGGAAGTTTCCTGACTGATTTCGAAATTCTTTTCTGATTATGTTCTGCTTATTCTAGCTATAATCTATGAGTCATTCATCATATTTTGGAATTCGTGTAATATGGAAACGATCCGTGACTACGAATTGCCCCTACTTCATGGAATATCATGGAATACAGATACAGATTGGTGGCATATCAATATTTCAGCAGAGCAAACCTGGAATCATTCGAATTTGTTCCACTTCCGACAATTGACAAAGTTACTTTGCCGCAGAAGAGAAATATTTTCCCTTGTATCCTACATACATGTAAGCTACGTTATAAGGTGATGAAACAAAAATAATGCATTAATAACATACAAACTCTGTCTGAGATATAGCTGAACAACCTAAAATCATTTTCAATGATATTGATTGACATCATCGCAATGTTATTTCAACAATATCACAGAACTTATATCAGGAAAATATTTTTGTTATGGATCATGTTTAGTGGAGATGAGACTAAGGAGGTTATGTGAGAGCAATTGATAGGTCTGAATGTGTTCTTTCATTTCATCAATGCCCTGGAAGAGGTGGATATTTGGACTTTATATCTATTCAATTATAATCTTCCTAAAAGGTTTTGAGATACCTTGATGAATCTATCTTATGAAACAATTCAGCATTCAGTCCACATCTGTTTTAAAAGAGAGTTCTGTGAAAGTCATCGAATTTCCATTAGAACTATTTACTCTTCAAAGCCCTCCCAAAACACTCAAGTAACATCAGTGTCTCGAATTTGACCAAGAGGTTTTGAACTAATCCTACGAAAATATACTCCATGAAGCAAACTCAAAACCAAATTTACGCTAGGCCAAATATTATTCATGGCAATAATGGAACCTGCTGGCATTATTCTAGTTGTGTAGAATTGATCATCAGAGCCTATGGGACAAAATGAATAGTTCATCGAAGTCAATTATAAAATCTTTAGGACGGGGCGCCGTGGATGAGTTTGTCTATGCGCTGAAATTCGCCAGATAGCCGTTCACGATGCGAATGTCGGTTCAAATCCGGCTTCCATTAGCATTTTTCTTGAGAATGTGTGGATTGATGGTTGTAATCCTGGCAGGATCACAATGACCTGCTAGAAGTGGTTCGGATCCCACTATAATCTGTAGGTCCTGCTCTTCCTTACCGCGCAAAAATATCGACTTTTGGGAAGATGTTTCCTAAATTCGATGTTGTGATATACATTTAACTTTTTTTTCTCTAAGTACTGTGTAAGTGCATGTTTTTAGTTTCTTGCCTACGACTCACGTTGAAACGGATTCACAAGAAAATAAAGAGTGTGAAATTGATAAAAATAGCAGTTTTAAGGAAACAGTATTGAAAAATTACTCTGAAATCCAAAAATAAATCGGAATTTCCAGCAATCACAAAATTTGCGTCTTTGAATCTTTCTCAACTGAAACCACTACAAAAAGCAACAATTCAGTAGGACCTGTTGATGAAGTACCATCAACGAGTCGAAATTTAATCGAAAATACGTCTCATATCTCTGATTATTATTACTTCTGCACTAAACTGTGAGCAACTACGAAGCGAGGAATATGGCAAAATTTTTGCACAAATTATGTCAGATGGCGAGTTTTGCGGAAATTCAGGGAAGATGCAGCATTCTGTTCAACAATTTCGGGATCCAAAAGTATGTATTCTCCTACTCATGAAAAGATCACGAAGATAAGAGATCTTGGTGAACAATGTTGAGAACAAAAGTATGGTTTTGTGAATGACATTACATTATTATTCATCTTCTTCTTTTGGCCACACCGACCAATGTGCACAAGTCAGGATATTCTCGAAGCTTTGAAGATTCATAAAGGCATATCTAGGAACAAATAATGATGAGAATGTAATTGAATAAGCGAAGATTACTCCACCAGCAAGAATAAAAGTAAAAACACAAACACTAAGTCGGTCGACCACAAAGTTTAATTACAAAAGTTTTGTGACTAGTTTCGGCTCAAGCAGTCATCTTCAGACACAATATATAGTACCTGTAAAGATATTGGTTTACAAGAATAATATGACATATTGAAGAAGAAACAAACCATACGTGGAATCACATAATTAAATTAATTGAAATTTGATTAGCAGGGTCATTTGGCCAACAATTCAATCCGGTGAAAAAATTGATACTTTTTTGAACCGACTGAACAGCCAAAAGAACCTAATGATAATTAGATTCAACATTGGCAAAAATTGAGAAAAACCAGCAATAAATTCACTCAAAGGAGTTTCATCTTGAAATGGCCGTGTTTGTGAAAGACAAAAGCCAAGGAGAAGGCAACGAAATGTCAAGCATAGCAGCATACGTTGACAGAATTACAGGACAAATGACAATGACATTTGATAAAAACCCCAAATGACATTCACAATATGAGATTACAATTTTGAGTTATGATAATGTTGTGGTAAAATTCTGAATAATGAATTAATTACAAAATTCATTATGTCTAAAAAACCTAAAGAAGAAATAAGTGGTAAGGCCAAATGCTATGTAATCCAAGAAAAGAGAAGAAGTGTCAAGGTGTAGTAATTGTGATCTAACCCAGAAGAAGACGAACTAAGGAAGGTGAACAAAATAGAACAGGGTCGTTCAAAATTAGTTTGGTCATTGAGACAGTTAAAATTTGAATTGTTTATACATTTTCGAATTTCTAAAATTTCTAGGAGGTTCAGCCGTGGACCTTCATTACAAATGTGGATAATATCCATATAGAAGCCTCATACTGCGACGGAGCACCCTGAAATATGGCCAAAAAGGGGGCAAATCAGGGTTTTTTCAATAAAAGAACATCAGTAACCGTGGAAGTGGTCCTAGTGACAATCACAACAAACGGTTCCCCTTTAAATAGCAGCACGAGCCGCGATCTCTTCAGAACATTTCCAACCTTCGAAGAAGCAACATCTCCAGAAATGAAAAGTAAGAATCCATCATAACGAAACTGTTTGAATTCATATATGTTTATTTGTTGTTATCTGGATTTATTTGACATGGACATGACAATGGCATTAGTAACCCAGTGACCGTCCGCTCGGTGCTGGAAGTGACCAGAGCACCGACGGCCGTTACCGACAGAGCGATACGGGGTAATCTTCTGAAATAAACTGTGTTGAGTTGCGATTGAGTTGCAATTCTGTTTATCATTGTTTATTATACTGAGTTATGGTATATTATTGCCATGGTTAGGCATAAATATGATGAATATTTGTTGTCTTTCTTCACAGTTGTATGATTTCACAGTTGTTCTTGTAGCTTACACTCACACTACTATCCGACCGACTTGATCGTAGTCGGACCCTACACTTTTGACAATCCGACCGACACCTGATCGTTGTTGAAACTTACACTTATACTACTATCCGATCGACTTGATTGCAGTCGGACCCAACACTTCACTACAAATAGGTTTGTTCTCTTGAAACATCTGCGACTTCTAGAAATAATAGAGATTTGCCAAAACATTGTTATGTGTTTTCCTTCAGAGCGAATGGGCAGAAATGATATTATTTCAGAAACTAATTCCTTATCTTGTTACGAGTTCTAGGAAACATGGAATATGACCAAACCTCCTCCATAGCCGGAAGAAACGGTTGAAGGATCAGGTCCCAGTCTGAGTAATATCTCAACAATTACTCAGCACTCAGTCTCTGATAGATAACGTCGAGTCCAAATAGAGTAAACTCATCACATGATCTCTTTTGGGTAGTATTGTATACTTCGCTGTTGCTTAACCTCGACCAGTTTCTCTACGTAACTCGAAGTGCTTATAGATGACAATGAGTGGTCAAACTGCTCGATGGTACTGTGGGAGCGTATCCCCTCCTTACTTACATTCAAATCAACAGTAGGCATACTGACTTGGACGTCCTTGTAGCTAGTGTACACCTCGGATGTGGCTTGCAACCACTCATATTCAATCCCGGCAGGAGACGATCGTTCTACTGAAAAAAGCCAGAAGGCAAACCGAGAGGGATGCAAGCATAGTCCATCTGAGCAATTGATCAGCTAATACCAACATAAACTTTTGCTACTGAGTCTTGGTTGCGCAGTGAAGAGGGTTTGATTGCTTTTTGCTAATTCACTCAACTTCACATCTTACAATTTGCATTGTAAAAAGATGCGTGGTCAATAAATACTCTTGATTCATACTCTTTTCAACCTTCACAGAACTCTGTATCCACGAACTTATATAAAAAAATACACAACGTGGGAACATGTTTGAGAGGTGTCGAATTGAATCTCGATACTCCTTGAACATGATAAATACTAGACGATCACATGGAATATGGTTATATAGTTCCACATTTAGACAACACCCGGGTGGGTTTTGTTACAGTCTACAGTGTACAACCCCGAATACTTATCAAAGAAGGTAGTAGTGATGAGGTGAGTTGGCTAATTTCAGTAAGTTTATTAAGAAAACGACCAGAAATGAAATCTGAACTATTATTCCGTCACAATGATGATTCTCATTTCCATTTATACGCTCCCTTGATTCCGTTGGGATTATCCGAATTATCTTGGAGATTAACCAGATCTTCATCAATTAGTAACTCGAAGTCACCTAAAGCTTCTGGAGACGGAATCTTATTCCATCGGACACTGAAACATAATAGATCAGAAGTTCAAAAAATGAGAAATGACAAAGCAAAATATCGTTCTATTTAAGAAAAATTATTCGTTGAGTGATAAGACTATGGTCAGTTAGGCGGATAGGTCAATATAGAATCCCCTTTTGTATTAGTAGCCCAGTCATCTTTTCTGACAGATATTCATCTCTGTTAACCATTTGATGTCCAGAAAACGAGCGAATCTAATCGATATAGGTAAAATCAGTGGAATTGTCAATGACGTATCAAAAAACCGCTAAAGAAGGTTCCCATAAGTATATCAAGGTAGCTGATATCTTTTTTGAAGAATGTTTTCGACATATATCAGTTGGATCTGTTATTCCACATACCTACTGATGCGACGAGTAAATGTGTTCTCTGCATGTGGAAATACAACTGAGTATTTCTCTAGATAAAATTACTAGAAATAATTTACAAATATTGATTCTATATATCCTATTGAATATGGAAAAGTACAAATTCAGAAAGTGGGATAATTAATTGATAGAGATTGAAACATATTCAAATGATCGACAACAAATAGTAACAACAAATTTGGAGTATTTCCTAATTGCCGATATAGGTTCGAATTCTAGGCAAAACAACTTAATCACGAGCTATTGGCCCTCATCAGTATAGGAATCGAAGAACAACTTGTCTGAAAATTGTAATTCGATGGTATATATACAGGGTGTTTGGTTCACCGACGTATATCTGAAAGAGGGTGATAGGTGGGATGATTTTGAACACATTCAACCATGAATACTATTATACAAAGTGTTACGCTTTTCGAGATATCATCGATTTTCAGAATGTGACCGAATTTGATGAATAGTTGCACATAAGTTATAATAATAATTTTGTCAAACATTTTGTCTGATTGTATTTTTTTTTCTATCAAGTTGAATACGTATTCCATCAATATTGAACATGTAATGGGATCTACGTATGGCGAAAAAAAAATTATGACTCATTAGAATTCAAAATTCAAAATTGTGATATACAACATCGACTTCATATGCAGATAGATAGATAGCACTTTATTTCCAACAGGTATACACCCAATTACAGGAAATGTTAAAAGTAACGCTAGTTGTACAAAACCAAAATTATTTCTTAATCAAAATAAAAAATAAAACGGTATACTATATATATACATATATGAAAATCACAAACGATGATGAAAGAATAGAATATTGATGTAAAAAAAAAATAAGAGAAATATATCAAGATTACAGTTGAAAGGTTCTTTGGAGAATACATTTCAAAATTGATTTTAGGGTACTATTATTAATATCGCACATATTACATATTAAATTGAAATTGTTACACATTATTGTCACGGGTGCCCTAAGACTAATATTTGTTCTACTATTTTCACAATAGAATGTCATTTCATGTCTAGTATTCATACGTGGAGTGTGGAAATTGATATTTTCTAAAAGGGGAGCACATGATATCTTGTTATGTATCAAGTTGTATAGAAATGAAACTGTTATAATGATTCGTCGTGTGTTCAAAGAAATAATATTGAATTGATTCAAGAGAATTGTATAATCAGTTCCTCTTTGGGGATATACTCTTGTAACTTTAAAAGTTAAATGCTTCAAGAATTTTTTTTGAACTGATTCAATGTGACTTATATGTGAATTATAGACAGGATACCATATCAACGCTCCATATTCTAATTTAGACCTCACATAGGCATTGAAGAGTGTTATGAGTGTACTTGTATTTGTAAATTCTTTCGTGTTTCTCATTATGAAACCCAGCATCTGGTTAGCCGATGAAACAGCCTGGTCTATGTGTGATACAAAATTGAATTTATGGTCGAAAACAATACCGAGATCTCTCATGTCCTGAACCCGGTTGATTCGATGATTGTTAATTTCGTAAGAAAATTCTATCATGTTATTCTTTCTTGAAAATGATAAGATATGACATTTAGAAATATTTAGATGTAAATGATTTCTCGTGCACCAATTGAAAACTATGTCGATTTCATTCTGTAAGATTAGACAATCTTGATATTCTTCAATAACTTTGAACAGCTTCAAGTCATCGGCGTAAAGAAGTTTTGAGCAATTGACCTTTTTAGCTAAGTCATCAATAAAGAGCAGGAATAATAGAGGTCCTAAGTTAGAACCTTGTGGAACTCCCGAGCTAGGGGTGTATAGGGGTGACTGATAATTTTCATATTCGACATATTGCTTCCTGTCGAAGAGATAACTAGTAAACAATTCGATTAAACTTTCAGAAAAGCCAAATGATGATAGTCGATTGATGAGAATGTAAAAATCAATTTGGTCGAATGCTTTTTGCATGTCCGTATAAACGACGTCAACTTGTTGTCTCTTATCCAGTGCTTTTGACACACTTTGCGACAGGCATGCGAGGTTGGTCATACACGATTTCTTCTCTACGAATCCATGTTGGTCATCTGAAATTTGATTTCTGACCGAGTTGTAGATGATACTATATAATATTATTTCGAAGAGTTTCGAGAAGTTACATAGAATTGAAATTGATCTATAGTTTTGTATTGAGGTTGCGTCACCTTTTTTCAAGATTGGACATACACGGGCAGTTTTCCATATATCGGGAAATGTAGACGTTTTCAATGATAAATTGAAGATATGAAGCAGTGGAACTAATAAGGGGTATATACAATCTTTCACGAGGAAACTTGGTATGTGGTCCGGACCAATAATTAATTTGTTCTTCAATTTTTGAGAGGCTTTAATTATCTCCATTTCATTTATGGATTTAATATTTATGCATTGGGAAACGTCTGTGACGTTGTTGAATGTGTTGGATAGTGATATGTCGGACTTGATGTAGACACTTTTGAAATAAATTGCAAATGCATCTACAATTTCTTGTGGTTTGGTGTAAGTGTTATTGTCATCCTTCATAACGCCAGGAATTTTCGAACTACCTTTTTTATTCTGCATGAAATTCCAAAATGTACTAGGATTTTCCCGTATATTGCTTTCACTCTCACCGAGGAAGTTTTTATAAGCTTCATTTATTTGTGATTTGACTTCATTCCTCAGAGAGATAAATTGTTCACGATAAAAAGATGTTTTAAACTTTTTAAGGTTTTTGTGGGCTCGCTCTTTCTTCTGAATATGTTTTATTATAGTTGGTGTGAACCAGGGCGGGTATCTACGGGTACGATTTACCTTATAGGGGACAGTAACGTCAAATATGTTATAGAGAGTAAGATTCAGCTGATGACATGAGGCATTCACATCTGTTTGTTCTAAAATATTGGACCAATTCTCGTTAGCGACAAGTTGATACATCATAGGAAAATTGGCTTTTCTGAAATTATAGTTCTTCGATATGTCACTAGAGTGGGAAAAATTATTGGAACGATTATGTGAGATCATAATATCGAATGATATGGAAGGATGATGACTGTCTTCTTTCACTAGTGGATCCATATCCCGTTCAATATTACAATAGTTTTTCGTTAAGACGAGATCTAGAGTACGGTTATTGATGTTCAAGATTTTATTATTTTGGTTCAACCCGAAAAATTCCATGAAAGTTCTTAGTATTCTCCCTTTTTTATCATGAGCATCAGAGTTGAGAAGAGGAATATTGAAGTCTCCAACTAGTATGACATTATCGTTGTGAAGATAATCTAACAAACTAAGATTGTTGAAGAATTCTTCAAAATCATCTATAGATATGGCTGGTGGAATGTATATAACAAATATAAAGAGAGGGGAATTTCCAAGTATTTCTGCACCGGCCATGTCTATAGAGGGTGTAGCAGAGACAATGAGAGATAGATTCAGAGGTTTCAATTTCAAATTATTGCGAAGGGCAAGAGCTACTCCGCCTCCTCTTGTAGTATTCGTTTCTCTGAATTTTCTATCACATCGAATGATATTGTAATTGTTTGGGAAAAATTCTGCATCAAAAACAGCAGGAGAAAGCCATGTTTCACTAAGACATATGATGTCAATTTCTCGAGAGCTAACCGCGTTGAAAAGAGCATCTGTTTTTGTGTTCAGTCCTCTAACGTTCTGGTAATAGCACGATAAAGTTACGTAATTGGGTGTGTTTTCTAAAAATTCACTATTTTCGGTATGCCATTGAAGTGTTTGATTTTGATGTTAGTTTCACCATTGTTTTTTCTCTCCTCCAGTTCTCGTCTCAGTTGTTTGTAGAATTCTAATTGTTTGGGAGTCTTATCGAAAGAGAGAGATATATGTTTGAGAACAGAATTCTTCAAGTTGGGAGCCTTCTTTATCAATTCAAAAACTTCTTTGCTATTATTTAGAGTGATTTTTATTGGCCGTGGGGTCCTTCTATCTATATCGAACTTACCCAGCCTATGCATATTGATAGCTCGTGAATCTGTATTAGGGGAGAGATGAGTCAGAAGTTTGGTCACCTCGGTTTGTTCGGCTGAGATCCGCTCATCTTTTGGAATGGTTGATGATTGTTCATTCATTCCAAAAATCAACAAGTTACATTGCCTGTTTTGCCTCTCAAATACCTCCTGGACGACATCTTCAAATTGTTCTCTACTGAGTGTTACATTCTCGGCGGGCCTGACATTCTTAATTTCATCTTGAAGAGCCACTATGGCTGCTTTTAAAGAGTTGATATCATTGCCAATTTGATCGCATCTTGTGCAAGTCCATTTCACTGACTTTTTTGAGTTGATGAGTCTAGTTTCTGATGCAGTGATGTTGACACAATGATGGTAAAACGCCTTTGAGCAGACACAGCATTTCAATAATAAATGAGAATCGAATGATTTAGAGCAGCAGCAGCAACTCTCCATTTTCTATATCTGCACGACACTGGAATCGAAATGCTATCCTAGTCACTTACTAGGTACTGATGATTGAATCGTAGGTTATATGTAACAACTTCGTGGATAGTTAAACACTGTGTTTTTCGTAATAGTCACTTTGGAGAGTGTCACTTTGTGATCAGAATTATATAAGTTTCGAAATAAACTCAAACTTTGAAACCAACAAAACTAGTACACAAAGCAAGAGCACATGTATTCTCTTTGAACGAATAGGATTTACTCAGATATGGATTATTCGTTCGAATACCTTCGAAAACTCTCTCAGTGTTGGTTCTTCCGAATGATGTAAGTAATAACACACGCAGGCTCAATTATGTAGTATACTTATTTCAATAAGAAACATAATAATTCCCCACGGAAAAAATTGCAAGATTCAACAGACGAAAAAATTAAATTTATGAACAGGAATCCATTCATGGAATCTCTTGCTCGAAATGAGATCCACCATTTCGAATACAAAGTCGATATCTCCGTCGCATTTCTGTCGTGGGTACCTATCCTCATTTCCGCCTTCATTTGATCTGTGCCTCATGGATTCTTCGAATAAGATGCTCTCGATCCCGAATTTCCTCATCATACACCAATTCCTTCATTCGTCCCCAGACATGATAGTCGACGGGGGTCAGGTCTGGAGATCTCGGAGGCCATGATATCGGTTCATTTTGCCATATCCATCTTCCTGGAAATTAATTATTCGAAAAATCTCTGACAGTTATACGGTAATGGGCAGGACATCCGTCGTTTTGACAAATGATGTGTCCTGTTACATCTAAATGAACTTCATCCAAAATATTGGGTGAATTATCTATCGAGAATTCTAGATAGTTTTCATCATTCAGATTGTTAGAAAACAAATATGAACCAATCAGATTTCTGCCTATTATACCTGCTCAAACGTTTACACTGTCTCCTTCTTCGAGCCCTTGCACGGGAGTGTAGTGGAATGGGTGCATTTTTAAAAATGAAGAACTGAGCATGATTTCCATGTAGATAGATTCAGCTGTTCCGCTTGTTTTCTGGTGACACTAGTGGGCTCTGCTTCAAAATTTTCAAGAATTTGCCGATCCACTTCAGGGCGATGTTGTTGATTGTTTGCTCTAGGATCTCTTCGATGTGAATTGCCTGTTTCGCTCAATCTACGATACGTATTAGCGAACACGCACACGTGGGGTACTCGTCTTTCAGGAAATATTTTTTGATAAATTCGTTGAGCAGCAGCTGCATTGCTGTCAGCTTTGCCGTACATGGAAATTATATCAGCATATTCAGCATTCGAAGAAGCAGCCATTTGACAAATTGACAAATATTATAGAATAAACAGAATAAAATACTGTGATGATATTTCTCTCAGAGGGGCTCTATAAACATCATCAGTAAGACAGGAGTACAACGATCATCCTGTAACACGCATCCCAGATTGCTTTCCAACCTCTCAATGAATCCTACATACACCAGCATATTTCCGAACACTCAATATATGCCGCAGTGACAAATAACGTGACAAAAGATTCGGGAATGTTCTGAAAACAATCGATGAAACAATTAGAGAGAGAGGTTTTGTTCTAATCATATACGTATTAATAAACAATACGGATCATAACGGGTGCCAGGATGAAGCCAAAAATATGAAACAAATGAATATCCATAAGGATTTGGTGGCATGATACGCATGCGCTATTATAGTAGTCATCAAAGACATGCGTTTCGGTGGACAATGACGTTTACTAGCCTTCCAATCAAAGCAGTATGTGTCTGATCGTTTCAAAAGGTCATGACATTCTGTTGTTTTTGTTTACGTTTCGCGGACATGTTAATTAGCGATTTTTCATCAGTGGTATCCATAGATTTCGATAAATTCAGTGATTTCAGGGTGTTTAAAAAGATATAATTGTTCATTAATTATCAGTGTTTATTGTTAGATTTCCAGTTCTAATAAGTATTTTCATAGTTGAATTCCCATTAATATTATATTGTTCTTGTTTTTTCCTTCTTCTGGAATAACTGTAGATAAGTATTATCATTTTAGTCGTTTTCATTTCATTGCATAATCACGGTTGATATTTCTTTGTTAATTTTGTCCTCTTGCTGATTTTTAGAAGTTATATTACCATTTTTCAGGTACCTATAGTTCTAATTTTTAATAAGTTCTCCTCCTTAAAATGCCATCTCAAATGAAAAGTTGCTTTCTTTGTGAAAGTAAAGAATCTAATATATCTTATCACAGGTAAGAATATAGACAATACCTCAGTATAATTCCTATCTACTACACAATAATATTTTTTTAGATTTCCCAAAGATGCTGCTATCAGATCAGAATGGATAAAGTTCTGTAATCTGAATAATAAAATTGATGTACATCTTTCCTCATTACTTTTGTGTTCAGAACATTTCTCTGTGCAAGATTTTTGGAATGAGGAATACATGTGAAGCAGGAGTTCGAAGAAGGTTAAATAAAACAGCTATTCCTACTCTCAACAAAATATCATCTGGGCTGTTTCCATGTTATGTCAATGATGATGTTTCTGATTCCTCAAATTCTTGTGCAGGTAAATATATTTCAAAATATTAATATTATAAATTGAATAAACCCTTAATATATTATACATTACTTGATATTACATACCTATGATCTTGATTCTGATTACTATTTAATCATCTTTTGAGTGATGTTTATAATGGTACTAACCTCGGTACTAACAGTAATCAAGTTGAGTACAATGAACAAATAACTCATTTTGTTTGACCTCAAATGAAAATTTATTCCAAAAGTATTGTTCACTGAGCATCTCAGTTCACTGAACCTTTAATGCTGCTGCTGTAGAATTATTTATCAGCTCAGCTTTCAAATCTAATAAGGTATCTTCAAATGGATGTAATTGAAATATTTGAAATATGAAGCAGTTGTGCCTTTTCCAATTGAAAACATCCACTTCATATCATTTCAAGTATCATTCATTTCTTCAATAAGAATACACCTTCTACATATTATATAACCAGATAATTTATCAATATCAAGAGGGAATAAAGTGAATACAACAGCACACTCCTTATATTCCATCAGTGGTGAGGAGTCTTATAATCACAATACATAATACAGGGTGATTGACAAATATGCCACAAGCCATAACACTTGCATTATTTACTGTCCAAAATTAAATGACTCCTTGGATAGGTATTATTATGAATCAATGATTTTCAACTCTAACATCAGTGACTGTCAGTAGGAACTATATTATGTATTCATCATATCTTTCACTTATTTTTTTCCCTTGGTGAAAATTTCTGAAGTTGTTATGTGAAATTGATTAGGAAAACAGACTGAATCCTCTCCCATAGTATTTGTGACGTGATTTCATTTGCCTTTTGGTTAATCAAAATCTATCATTCAATGGCTGAATAGCTTGGGGCTTTTCATGTCAGTCATCCTGTGAGAAATTGAGTTGTAGAAAATTGTATTTTTTTCCTTAGATTGTGCTCAATTCTTGAAAGAAAATAATTTTTGGATGTGAAATGATGTAGATTCCTAAATCATCAGTCATTTTCATTTCAATGTCCAATAGTTCTCTGTTTTTATTCAATTTTTAATGATATCTGGATTTTAAATATTCAATCTGTCTTTGTATTTTTTTAGGACCAAAAGAAAATCTCAAAAGAAGACATGATGAAATGTTGAATGACTCTCAATGTTGGAGTGGTGAGTATGATTTAGAATGCCAACTTGTGCAGAATGCATTCCACAAAACAAGGTGAATAAAAAGCTCTAGAAATATAATACTGAGAGGAATGGTGCTATAACTTTTATTTGCTCCTGAAATCATCATCTGAAATGAACTGACTAGTACATTGAACAATAGAATAAAAAAAATCATAGTGTCCATCATTGCAATAATGCAAGTTTCATTTGTTCAAGAGATGATATCATCCTTTCTATATTGTTATTCAGTAATTTAGAAAAAAAATCCTGATAGAGTAGGTGTACACATGGGCTCAAAATTCCATTCTATATCAGTAATATAGCATACATTCTGTACCAGGATGTCCCATAATCAGCATGGAATATTTCGGCCGTAGAATCCTCAACCAAAAATAATAAAGAATAAGGAGTGAGGAGTTGAAGAGTGGCTAAGGGAGTAAACTTTTTTTGTCAAAAATGAGAACGTGAATTCTGAATGATTAAAACCATTATCAATTTTTCAGTTTCTTTCAGATAATATGTTCAAACTTCATTGCTCAAAAAATAATTGAGAAAATGTGGCAAAAAATTATGGTAGACATACCTTAGGCAGGCTTCAAGCTCTCTCAACAAGCAAATCTTGATGGATTTCCTAGTTTTTTATGGTTTCATACTGGTAAATAAATGCTCTCAAAAATTACAAAGAATAGGTGTCTACTATATTCATGGAATTCAGCAGGAACCAATTTCATTAAACATAAATTTTTATGTGGATTTGGATCCCAAGTTGATAAAGTTTTATTGATATCATTCATAGATGGTGCCTGTCCTAATAAACAGATTAAAGTTTAGGAAAATAGACTGAGAACAAGAGTTGATAAACAAAGGCGCCAAATTAGGAGATTACAACAGCAGAATAGGAGGCTGACACAGAAGATTTCGACCTTGAAGGGACTATTAGGTCATTTGAAATCAAAAGATTTCATCTCTGAAGATGCCCATAACAATTTACTGGTATTTGAATAACTTAACCACCTACAATTATTTGCTAATAAAGAACCCCAATTTATATAGAGCAACAACTCTCTGTTTAAATGAATTCATCATAAGGAAAAGATATAGAAAATAAGTTTGAACTTCCAACAAAATCATTTCATATTCACAGTTTGTTAGATCAATCTGGTAATTTGCTTATTATTATACACCACAACGTCACAGAATCACTGTTGAATATTGATAGATGCAAGAGTTTTGCTCTGTTTAAAATGTGGATTTATTAGTTATTAGCAGAGTAGATGAAATATTCGAAAATTCAGGTGTCTCAAAAAACTGCATTACAAAAATATGTTCATTATAGGCCAATGTTCCTGATAACCTCAAGTCACTATTTGAAAGAAAACTAAAGAATAAGAGAAACCGAAAGTATTCCCCAGAACTAAGGAAGTTTGCTGTCACATTGCAGTTTTATTCGACTCGGGCATATAATTATGTGCGAAAAATATGGGATAATTTATTACCTCATACTAGTACTATCAAAAAATGGTACAGTACTGTTAATGGAGAGCCTGGTTTCTCAAGTGAGGCATTATCAGCCATCAAAATGAAAAAAATAGAAAATAACGGCCCATTTCTTTTGAATATCGTGATAGACGAAATGTCTATAAGGAGCCAATCAATATACCATAATGATAAATTTGTTGGGGGCGTCGACTTGGGTACAGATTTTAATAAAGACTGTGATAATATTACAGATGCAACACATGCCTTAGTTTTCATGGCAGTTGCCATTAATTCAAGTTGGAAAGTTCCCCTCGGTTACTTTTTTATAAAGAGCTTGAATGCTTCCGAGAGAGCCAATATTTTTTCAAAATGTTTGGAACTAATCCATGAAACCGGAAGCAAAGTTACTTCCGTAACGTTCGATGGGGCATCTGTCAACATTGGTATGTGCACCAAGCTTGGTGCAAATTTCGATGTGTATGGAGATTTCAAACCATATGTATTAGATCCAAATACAAATGAAAAAATATACATTTTTTGGGACGCTTGTCATATGATCAAGCTTGTTCGTAATACGTTAGGGGACAAAAAGATTATGTTGAACAAAAATGATCAGACAATAAAATGGTCCCATATAAAACAATTGTATGAACTACAAATGAAAGAAGGATTACATCTGGCGAACAAATTGATCAAAAAACATATTGATTTTTCTAACAATAGAATGAATGTACGTTTAGCTGTTCAAACACTCAGTGAGAGTGTTCATAATTCTTTAAAATACCTCATGAAAGTTAAAACATATTGATTTTTCTAACAATAGAATGAATGTACGTTTAGCTGTTCAAACACTCAGTGAGAGTGTTCATAATTCTTTAAAATACCTCATGAAAGTTAAAAGTGAAGGTTTTGAAGACGTAGTTGGCACTGAAGAATTTTGTTTCATGTTTAATGATATATTTGATTTGCTCAATTGCCGAAATAAATTCTCTAAAAAAACAGTTTTCAATCGACCCATAGAAGAGCAATCTGAGAAATTTCTGTTTGAGAATGCAGTGAATTTCATTGATTATATTAAAGGTTTAAAAGATCAATTTGGTACTCCAATTATGAAAACTCAACGAAGAACTGGGTTCATTGGTTTGATTATTTGTCTGACGAACAAATTTGAATTCTATAAAACGTGCAGAAGTTTTGGTATGGAATATTTATTATCATTCAAGTTGTCTCAAGATCCTTTAGAAATGTTTTTTAGCGCTGTGAGGAGTAGAGGCGGATTTAATGACAATCCAAACGTAATTCAATTCAAGAGTGCATTCAAGCGATTATTGGTAAAAAAAGAGATTAAATATTTTGATGGAAACAGTAATTGTTTGAGCGATGCTTTGGATATTTTGGGGGTAACATCCAGCAAGAAAGATAATGGTATTATAGAAAACTCAGATGAATCTGACGTTTTGCTCAATTCATTTGACCATGCACAGAGAAAAACGGTCCAGGTACACAAGTACACTTGAGTAAAATTTAATACCCACAAATATATTAATGAACTTTTGTACCATTACAATAGGTGAACATTTTTTTCTGATATCGACTTCCAGTGGCAGGTTAACTATGCTCCTGGAACAGGCCGTCTTTCTTGTGCTTGATTAATTTTCATCGATGTGTTTAATACTCAGTATACAACAATCCACCTAACATTAGTATAATTGTCCCTGAATCCTTGTTTTCTATGAGTGAAAGGAATAATTCTGCCATTATTACCAGTTTATTAACAACAGGTAACAGTTCACTTGATTTCTCTGTTTCGTCATCATTCGGCTAGTTTCGAATACCCACGATTACGCCACGAGCTGACTGCGCAACTCTTCTGCACTTCATTCAGTCTGTAGCTGTACTAAGAATATGTACCTTTGGTGATTGCGAACACTTATGCGTGCCTTTTTCTATTCTGGAACATTTGTGTTGTGCATGTGAGTTAAGTGATTGTGACTATTCCAAAAACATTTCTCCCAGTGACATTATCACTATGGAGCGACTAGCCCCAGGTCGAGAGTTGAAAAATAGAAGCAGCATAAGCAGTTCATCGACGACACTTTGAAACAGCAGGGTTTGGCGAAGTTTACGCAAAACTCTTCTTTCTTTCTTGGTGAGTAATATACCATTCTTTTTTCTCCGTGCATGAAGAAATCTTTTTGGGCACAAACGTTTTTTAGTGATATGTTTTTCTCCTTCCGAAAATGATTCTAAGCCCTCTAGTTCCTTATGTTGGTTGATCATTTGCAATTAATTGTTACATCTGATATTATATGTCCGTTTTATTCGTGGTTCTTGCCATTTATTTTTCATTTGAAGAGGTTATATTTTGAAAATATCTCCTATTTTGGTTGTGACCTCTCAATATTTTTATCGAGTGTGCTCTATATATGGTGTCAAAATTTCAGTAGGAATCCACTTGTTAAGTAGTTTGAATTTTGTTGAAGATTAAAGAAATATATAATCTCAGAAAAATAAATGAATTGTTGATCTCAAGTCATTACCCAAACCGAGGAGTTTTTATGGTTATATTTCACAAAAGCCGAGAAATAAATTGGGAAATATCGAAATGAAAAGACTCTCTACTGTGAATGTTTGCAAAAAAATCTTATTTCTGATAGTAGGTACACGGGAAAAAATTTCAGGAAACGGATCTTGATTTTTCTTATTCGGTGTCTCTGGATTTGAGTCAGTGAAGTTTTATAAAGAATGGCCTTACTTGAATGGGCTCACGGGACGTTTGCTACCTGTTAAGAGTTCATTCTTTCAATGAATCTCTTGAAAAAGGATTATTTGTTTGAATTTTCAAGAAAATAATAGGAGAAATTCAACACATTATATAATGGAATTTTCAAATTTCAGGGTGCTGATGGTAATGATGTGCCTGATTAGAACTTGATGCCACTTGATCTGGATTCAAGAGGACCTAGTACCCCCGCGGCTCACAGATACTCCATCAACGTCTGAAATATATTTGTATATGAGTCAGTTCGACAACCTATTATTGTATATTGAAAATAATTATTTCAAGTTCATTTATTTATGTAGTTTGTACTGAAATTACAAATGACTAGAATATATTATATAATGTACCTATATTTTGTACAATGTTTTTTCTCTTCTATAGAATCACCATCCCCATTGTGTGATACCTTGAAAATATTTTCAGAGGTATGCACATTGAACATCCCCAATATTTCAATTGAATTGCACATCTGAGATAATTAAATTATGTTCCAGAGACGAGTAATTTATGATCCCAGGACAACTTAATAATGTTTCTGGAATAATTATATTCTTCAGTGGTAGTAATTAAAAGATGTACCTAACATCAGTTAGATATATCTCAGAGAATATCACCTATTTTTCTGTAACAGCATGCTTTTTCACCTGTGGCAACTATATAGTATTGAAAATGTATTAAACTATTGAATAACTATCATTGAAGTGTGAACCTACAACAGGTGAAGAAGTCTGTAAGATGATATAGCAATGTTTCAAAGGGAATTACTTGATGTTCAATGGTAATTAAACAGTCTAATCAATGTTATTCAACACTTCAATAATCCTGAGTTGATTTTAAATATATTCATTCATTAACGATCAATGAACTATAT